GAACAGACAGTGGTATAGGGCTTTTTACGGTACGGTGATTTGAACTTCGATATTGGATGTATGATTCTTATTTTTGAAGATGAATTATCAATAAAAGAGTTGAAATAAAGCATTGGTTTGATTTTCCAAAGGAAACTGGTTGCAACCCTGTCCACGCACATCTTGTGAGATATTGTGGCAGATATAAGTGACATTTCTTGAATGTAACTATATACCTAATTTAACCCAATACAGGGTGAAGAAATTCCTCCACATTTCATTAGGTTCACTATCTGATGCAAGACCAACCAAAAGCAGGGCCAAATTACTTGCGACTGATGAGCTAACAGCGTTCATCCTACATGAAATGTACTAATGCAAGTAGACTGGGAACACGGGAATGAAAAAATCCACGGGGTATTTATTTTATTCGATTTTCATTGCCTAATCCCTTTAGGCCCAGACAAAATTTATGTTTGGTTTTAATTTTTGTAGACAAATTATTCTATCGTAAACGGACTGCAGTTGCACTCATCCAGGAAGCAGTGAACCACTTTTGATGGCTAATGTTTGAACCGTTGGTAGAAATTCTTTTCAGAACGAAATCGGTGAGTAGACCGGAATTTGCTTTGCGGATTCATTTTAAGTCACAAAGGTTGTACAGAATAAATTGTTCTTATTGGGTCGTCAGTCGCTAGTCCATCCTTCAACCCAAAACGAACTTAGTGACAGTCAAACTACCCAAACATTTGGAATAAATTTCAATTTGAGAAAATGATATCACGGTTCATTCTACTTTAGAAACATTGAAAGCCGTTTATTATGCATAAAGAGCTAACTGTGGGGCTGGTATGTTCATTCTATATTCTTTGTATTATACAAAGAAAATGAAGGTATTGTTATCAGCACCCAAAAGGATATCTCGATCTACGATGCCAGTATCGACGACATCGCAAATGTGAAAGCTTGGTTATGATGAAAAGAAGCTCACTCACTGGGCTTAGGTCAGTTATGCTCATATGGGGAATATGAAATGATGCTTTCTTACTTTGACGTTCATTTATCTCACAAGTGTTTCATTACTAGAAACGGTGCTAAATTTGTATGGGGAAAGCAGTAGAGATAAATCCAAAAGAAACTGTTCATTTTATGACACCTCGTGACTTGAATATCGTACGCTGAAACACTTTTGTAATATTATCATAACTATAAACCAGTCAGCATTATTGATTTTACGAAACGAAATAATAATGATAAACACGGACGAATCAGTAACTTGATTGTCAAACGTTGACCATTGCTTTGAAGTCATACCTCGAAAATAACAGAAATTGTGCCTCAAAGAAAAACAATAAGTACCGTTCTTTCCGTCTATCGTGCCGTCAATGACTCCACGCAGTACAACCATCGAAATTAAAACATATATCCCCAGGTAAAGTTAAAAAAACGTCCACTGGTTATTGAAGTAAACCCAAGCTGTAGCTCTCAGGAAACTTGGTTCTTTTTGAAACGTGTTACGGACATATACCGTTTCACGTTTAGATTTATTCAGGAAAATGCTACAACAAATTAACAATTGGGAATCATAAAAGCGTAGTAGCAAGCTTTTCTTCAGTTATTCGTAATCATGTAATTAAATAGCATTATATATGAGTAACAGACAAACCAAAAGGGGATGATAAACTCTAATTAGAATAGTACAGCAATTATTGGGTTATATCGATTCCCGAAAGCACACAAAGGGTTTATTCACCTGAGACCTATTGTAGCTATTTACAACTTCCCGTATCACGCCGTTGTAGAGTGGTTGTCAAGCTTAAATGAATAAGTAAGCTTCACACAATGCGGACAACCTACGTGACACTTTTCACCTTTTGGAAACTCCGAAGAACCCAGATCATCGAAAGCAAAGAGATAATATCAATTGCCGTTAGCTCTTTGTTCACAAATATACCAATCGGTAAAACATTTAACCACATATACGGATTCATTTAGGAGAACAATATCGACATCGGATGAGCTGAAATAATTGTTATTTGTCTGCAGGCCAAACGTTTAACCTCCAATCGACAGTAAATTAACTCATCAAAAGGATTGGGTTGCAATGGAATCATCTTCAGGATCATTATTCAGCGACATGGGAACGATCCATTTGAGCCTTTAATCAAATAGTGCATTCTTTAGAGAGGGTATGTTTAACGATGTATTATGTGCAAATATGGACAGCAGTCGACTGCCTGAAGCAGTTAAAAATGTCCATCCGAACGTGAACTTTATTTTAGAAAAATAATATGTCAACAGTCCAGTTTTATGCACGTATTCATAAAATACTGCAGCGATGTCTTCATCCAGATTTCGGTGAATAGGAAATAACTGTGCAATGGAAAACATGTTCGTTTCCATAGTATGATCCTTCTTTGAAGAAAATGAAATCTTTTTAAACAATTTGAATGAAGAAGCCAAAATATAGGTTCTCATAGCTATCCTAGATCATTTCATGGATGATTCGGAATACATTTGCAAACCTGTTAACAAAGTATTGAAAATCGGTTCGCGTAACTCGGGTGAACTGAATTTCATTTTGCCTATTCGTGGAGCTTGGTAATTTGTTTGCAAACGTTTCATCGCGAGCCGAGGTGACATCATAAGTGCTTGTGAAGTCGCAGTGTTCTGCTTTATCCGTTCGTTTATATATGTGATCTTCTCAACCTATTATTTTTGTCCCTTGTTCTCACTGTGTTGGACTCGGTTCGCCGGTAAACTGCTGCGACAGGAGAGATTGCTTGTTTTGTTCCGTTCTCAGGTAACGGCGTGACCTATTTTGTTGCGTCATTCGGTCCTTGAGTTGCATTGGCGTGTACAAGTGATCCAGCTCGACGTGCCTGTTTATTCAGTTGTTTGGAGAGTGCCAAGAACTACCCAAAACAAAATTGAAGAAAACTGTCAACAAGGATTCGTAAACACCAATCGGCAATCAGGAGAAATGACCAAAGATTGTCGATTTTCCTACACGAAGTTCAAGCAGGACATAGGTTTGACTTCGAATCAGTGAAAACTATTGACCAATCCTGGTCAAAGCACACCAAAGAATTTCTCTAGGCTTGGTGTGGATAGGAGCAATCAAGACAATCACAAGTGTGTGTTCGTATCGCGTTCGGTCTGTAGGTGGATGTGGCAAACGCATTCCGACCGATTTTAAAAGTTCGATGAAAGCAATCGGGAACAGAGAAGCATCCAGTTTAACCCACAGCCGAATCCCTAATTATTCGGATTCATAAGCTCCGCCTAAGCAACCACAAGAAATTCGTGCAAGCACTTAATAACCCCATGGACTATTTCATCCACCCCAACGTATGTGCAATCACTTGAAACTTTGATACGGATCAGCTACACACGAACACACGCACACAGGCACACACGCATGGAGCCGGATCTGAACCATTGGGACTTGAGTTTCTCATGATTTGATATTGGTGTTTGCCCTCTTCAGTGTTACGTAATGACATGAGAACAAAAATAAATGAAATGGAGCTTGTTTACTCGGTTGTTGTTGTTCAGAATGAGTTGTGTGTTTCTGATCAAACGTTTGATACAAATCAAATAAATGCTTTCAAATTCCGGATTCAAGACTGAATTATTTCCTTGCTGAATGCCCTAACACTTTTCGAAAATTTAATGAGGCGTTAAACGCATAGGATTACTTAACTGGCTTTGAGCTTCACGTATAATGTTGGGGTGATCTTTTATTGAATGCATTGCCTAACGATCCTATTCGTGCTACAGATTACGTCAACAACTCATTGAACTTAAATATCAAGATATCAATAGATCGCATTACTCGCAATATGAAGAGTTCTAAATCGTTCGTCCAAGTCTACATCGCGACTGGTGTGATAATGACAAATCAACTGTGAAAATACAGCCAAATTATCCCAGTCCCGTCAGTTGTTGTTACAAAGAATCGGAATATTACACCGGTAATCCGTCACCGCACACTATAGTGGGAATATATAAAGTAGCAGACCTTAACGGCAGCTCAATCCCTTTTATCGAAGTAAAATCTAATTATTAAGCATCTTCCCTTGCGCATTAAAGATATCTCTTTAACCCCTCTTTATGAGTTTTCTGTGTAGTCAATATGTCACTTTTTCAGTCCTAATGAAAGCTGATATGACTGTGAAGATATGATGAAAAAGTAAGAAAAAGTAATAAATTTGTCTTGGAGCATAGGGATGAGGACAAACCCTAACACATTTCCGGTGGATAAATTACCCAATATGGGTACCTTGCTACATTCGAACGCCTGAAACACCTGTAATCACATTTGCTTTACACGATACGGACAAGATAATATGAATACCGATCCATCTCGGTCACGTTCTGAAAATGTGTTGGTACGAAAACGATCGTGGATTCAGGTCATCCAGCTCTGAAAACGTGGTTGTCTCTTTAAATTCCATAACTTGTAACACACTTTTTGGAGCGTTCAAAAATGAACGGAGTCAATCTGTGATCGTGGCATTGTTGACTTGCGGGTGCAGTGATTTAGCCAAAATAAACTTCATTTGCCGTGAATGACTCCTGGCACGGCCCCTTTCTGAATAGGCAACCGTAATGTGCGGTACAGTACGCTCATAAAAATGAAATGCACAAAACTGCGTGACGCTAAATATTTTCTAAACCCGAAGGCTTGACACGTATGTAGGTGGTGTGTACAGATACAATAATTTATCTATTTAAAAAAAAAACATATGGATGATATGCAGAATAAGTCTTTATTTAAGACAATGCTCAATAAGAAAGGCAAAGTAAGGAATTTTTCAAAATTGTCACAGTGCATCTTACATAAATCGTATGCTTGGAAGTTATTGTGCATGCTCGGTTTTTTGTGCGAAATATTGGCTCAAAATGACTCCACGGATTTCGTAGTGCACAATCGTTGAAAAGGACCACACATACACAAGCAAAAAACACAAGCGGGCCTGCATATGTCCAAATTTACAGACGCGCATGCAAGCATACTAATCACTGTCTTCGCTGGTTTTCGTGAAATGTTTTTTAAAAAAGCGCGTCAGACTGGATTTCGTTGAGCTGGGTATTCGGAAGGTGTTTGAGCCTTGGCCACCGGATTTTGCGGATGACCCGGGTAGAATGTTACCGGACACGCTAGGCTGATGATAACCGATGCGTCGTTCGGTCGGTAGACGGGGATCACGACCGCGTTGTTCTGACTCGCGTAAATGTGCCACCAGCAGGAAAAAGAGATCTGCCACGAGGTGGTTGAGAGAAGCGGAGACCTCGATAAATTTGGCGTCGTGAACGCTGGCTAAGTGACGACCATCTGAAACGCAAATTCAAAAAGAAAGAGACAAAGTGATAGATGTCTGCGAATATTTGTGGAATTATTTGGACAGGTAAGCTAGGACACAGATGATATAATTCTTAAGACTAGTTATTTGCAATTTACGTAATGAAACTGGAATAAAATGCTACAATGAGACCAATAAACCAGGTTTCATGCAGACAGAGCGAAATGCATCATTAACTGATGATTCAGTTGCACTTGCGGATGTTCAATCTACCGAAATTGTGATATGTAATCGTTTTGATCACTTTTGGAATCACAACCAAGTTTTTGGACAGCATGGCACATTGCGAGACCGTGCCGAAGGACATTTTGAGTATAATCCTTATAGGCCCTTCGCTCAGGATGACTGGCTACGCACTATTGCCGAGAGTAAACCGCAAGCTGTATGCTTCCCGAGTGTACTATTCAATAGATTGAAAGCATATGATGAACATTTATAGTCTGTAGGTCAATTGGTTCAACTGGGCTTCTTGTTTCCCATCCTCGTGTATTTTAGACTATCGATACATTACTAACAATATCAATTACTACCACATATTTATCAATAAACTAAATCCTCAATGGTCCCGGGTTTGTTAGAAAATCCAACTTAACTCTTAAACTTCAATAGCCTGGAAACAAGCGATTTCAAAGTAATTTTAAAATTACATTATTATTGTATCAAACAGATTTACCAAAATGCGAGATTTAACTATTTTGTTGACTCTCATAACATACCGTCACATAAGAATCACTATGAAACTTCGCTTCATTAACACGAGTATATTATTCCTCGGTCTATGTCAAAACCAATATAATCATCTTCCAAAGAAGGTAATTTCGTGACACCATGAAACTCTACCCGAAACAAAACAACGATTCCCCTTAGCACAAAGAATTACTGGTAACAAATTGCGATTCTCGGTTGAAGTAAATATAGGAAGACAACAATTGAAGTGTTTCGTTGATGGAGATCACGTTCTGTCCTTTTACAATAATTTCTCAGTTTACCAAACTCATTCGACATGGATTTACCGCCAACTTTGGCAACCTGCTGTTAGTGATTTCAGATAGTTTCCCTACTGATCGCGGCTACTGGTCTAGGACGGCGAAATAAGAGATAAGAAATGTTCCCCAAGTGAATGCAATCAAACGTTAAACGTGTGAGTTTTTATTTGAAGAACTACTCACATTTGTTTATCATCAGTATATGAGTCCATTGGATTATTTATACAGACACCATTTCTTCTCATTTTATTGTAAGTTAGAATACAGCATTATCAATTGCCTTAATCAGATGTATGTTCACGTAATTTGAGGTCCACTCTGTTCTTGTCAGCATACGATAACCAAGTTTATAGATATCTTACTGTTTCTCTCTAAAAAAAGTGCCAGAATGGTACATTGATCTTAGACAGTGTAACATTTCGCTAACTGGCCAGAATTTCCAATCACTGAAGAAATTCCTCAGCCACTAGTTACACGTTCAGTTGACCAAAGTTGTTACTTACCTCAAATCTATCCATTCATGTGAAATAATTCTTTACTTCCATGAAATGCGTTTTCTTCCTAAGTGGACATTATTCAGGTGCTTAGGTGAGCATGTATGGAGATGTTTCTATAAATGTAGTGGTATCGCCTTTTTCTTGAATTATTTTCATCAATTTGGTTGAGCTCAAGATCGTTTACTGGACAGGTGCTTTATTTTTTTTATTGAGAATCATAAGTATTAGGCACTACGTTTTGGATCCAGGAGAGGAGTCAAACCGCTAGTTTTTAAAGTTACTTTGGAAACATTAACGCAATGATTAAACCAGTTTATGCAAAGTATACTGTCGCGAATGCACAGACACAGGTTAGTTTACTTTTTATTTTTACTATGAGTTGTGTTCATTGAAAAACAGTTTCACTCTCTGCATTATAACATCCAGTCGTTGATGAAGTAAAATAAAGCGCACAGGTTTTCACTCCCCACAGGGGCGATACAATTGCCCTACCTCGTTGCTGGTCGCAATTCTGTGAATAAATTGAACTTCAGATGAATGAGACTCGAACTAGAAAAACGATTGAAGAAAACTCTGTCTTTGTCAATTCGCCTGGGAATAAACAATAGAACATATGGTCACATAATTTGTTTCTTTTTGCAATAATTACTGAATAACCATCGGAAGGTTTGGAAGGTTTATTACCAGGACATTAAGCAGCCAATTTAAAAAGCGAAGAAAGCAAATCGATAATTTTGTATGAAGTCAATTGTTTGACAAATAGCGTAAACTCTAGACTTAGTTTTCAAATAATAATCGATTATCTTGCTTATTGATGTGCAAAAGGGTTAAGCACCATTTTAAACAAAATTCGATCGTAGGACAAACATCAGGCTTGCACGAATGTTCCCATTGCGCTTTTGTCCACAGTTATAAATTGGAAGCTTTAAATTATTTGACGAATTTAGTAAACTAAGCCATTTTAATAGCGTTTTGTTAAACTGCGGTTCATTTGCATTTCGTGTGAATCAGTCGCTGACAGAACAATACCCCCTGTGGTTCAATGAATAGTTCGATCTCATCACGTTTTCTCTGGATGTGTTTATGACAATTTTTCTCTATGCTTGGTTCTACATTGTTATCATATCGCCCGGTTACGATCATCTCACTCCAAGCATTATATGTTTGTGTGAAGCAGATGGAAAAAGCATTGATGTGACTGTCACCTGATTTTGGCCGGGGTGTCACGGTGGTCCACAATACCAGTTCACGTCAATTTCCGTTCATATTATAATTCCACTGTAGTGGCTAGCACGCGGATAGAGCCGAGTAAATGGCAGATCACTGATTGTAAGTCCGCGTTGCATCCCAAACTAAATGATGGAATTCGCTTATCGAATTCTGTGCTTCATCGTTCAGCTTGGCTAATCATCATTTACTACAAAGCAAGGCCAATATCAGAACGAAAATAATTCAATGGAAATGACAGGAGAATAGCAAACCAAAATCGGGATGGCATATGGCCTGTTGTAGTACTGGATTGCGATGCAAATGTCGAAAGCAAGCATGATGAGAATGCTGCAATCGTCACGTGAGGGCTAATGAAACCCCCACAGACGCACCCCTGACGGGTGTTTTGGGCAGGGAGTGTGATTTGATTAATGAACCTATTTCCAAGAAGACCACAGATAGTCGATGAATAAAATTTATTCTAAAAGTTGTATTTTGTGATGACCCCAGTAAGGTTTCTGGTTTGAACAAAGTGAGCGAGATGAGAGCTTCATTAGAAATAAGTGTTTTTGATCACAGAACTATAAATATGCTTTCTCACAAATACCGATACCCATCGCATCAGGTTCGAGGACTTCACATTCGTTCTTATGACGTTGTCACTCATTTGTCGTTTCGCCATGTAAAATGACTGCTGCTGGTTTCTTTAAAGACAATTTTATTATTGTGGTTTTCACAAAATCTTCGGATTTTTACTCATGGACATTTAATTCATAAATTGGTCGTTTTATCGTAATCTTGTCGTATTCTTCTCACCGATGAAGTGTACAAAATTGTACAAAATTGATTAAAACTTACAATTGCTTTTAAAATGATATTCCATTTACTGAATAAAGACAACGTCTGAAGAAAAAATTTACTCAATAAAAGATTACATAAATAGTATATATAGAAGTCGGAAATACTGTTCACGGACACTACAGAGCGGAAACAATGAAGTAGAATGACCCAGTTGCCCACAATGGTGCCATTATACGGTTTTCTGTGTTAGTCAACTAGCAGTTTTGCGTAATTCGTGAAGCGTTTTCCCGTTATTACGTTTTATGGTAATGAATTCACTTGACAATATGTTGTTTCATGTGGCTGAATAGACTGAGATATATATCGTTTTATTTTGTTGAATTGATGATGCAATTTTAATGAATGAATCTCAAAACAGTAGACACTGTCTACTTGAATACGCTCATTAGCGAAATTGAACACGTTGGAGCTGTTGCTCTTATGATAAGGACACATTAATGAAAAACACTGAAAAATGAAACTTTTATCGAAATTCAAATCTTCAAAATTATTGGCATCATCTCGTGTATCAATAAAAGTAAATCACATTACAACATTTCTATATAATCGTCTTGCGGTTAACTACAGTTTGATTTCGTAATCTCAAACGACAGGGGAAAAACACGGAAACAAAAGGCACGCGGCTGACATCAGCGGACCGTCTGTTTGTTGTAGTCGATTGTAACGGTATGTAGTCACTAATCTATCGCAAAGAATATACCTTAAGCATCTTAGACAACAAACTGTGTTGCGCAATATATAGAACTTTCGTGTAAACATCAGTGTCGATCGTAACCAAAATCAGTTACCTATCACTTTGTAGAACCCTAGTCATACTTGGGTTTCTATAAAACGCGAAGTTGCACATGACGCAGGAACTGAAATGCCTTGTGAACAAACAAAGACCACAAGTATATCAACATACTGTACTGACCTTCAGTTGAGATCTGGCGTCCTCTGACCAGGTCCGTTTTATTTGCAACCAGATAAATGAGTGCAGGGGCTACCAGTTGATTGTTCAAAAATTTTGGAGATAACCGGGGTGAATAGCCCGAGTCCAGAGCTGGAGAAAGGGCGTTCAGGATCAGGCGAGCTGCTTCGTAGCTGCTGCTATCATCGATCGCATACATGACTATGAATGCATCCACACAGTCATGCACCTGTATTTCCTGGGATATATAGCGAGGAAATCAAAATTCCAAAATTTTCATCGTCGAACAAATTGAATCAAGCAAACAAATCAAATGATTTACTTTAAATACACTCAAAATGTTTTATTCGTTTATTTCTTTCCCTTTAAATGGCCACCAGCAGAATTTTGAATTACATCACATTGCATGATTTATCCAAGTGCGCCTTTTTGAACACATGTCTATTTTATAGCAAAAAATATGAAAATATTTAATGTCATACCGTTTCAGAATAATTTAAAAATGATACTATCCTGTAATGTTCGAATAAAATTTCAAGATAAGATGAAAAACGACTCAGACTGTGGTTCACTTAACGGTATTATTATTGCGGATAAACTTCACTGGAATAATCACGAAGTTTTACCATTGGTTATTTCAATCGGTCCCCCTACTTGGACACTCGTAAATTCCAGCTCACCTGACTTAATTTGTTCATGCGACAATGGAAGCGAGGATATAATGACATGCTTTCATGGATCATTGGAAAAAGGCTGATTTATGTCTTCATTATGAGTTGACAAATAGCTTTGTTTGAAATGAAACCCACGTATAGCCCACTCCCTATCGGATGAGCTACAAAGCAGCACCGATACCACTGACGTTTGGACATTTTCACCACTCACCGAGATACCAGATGGATATGGCACCATGAAAATCATTTGAACCAAGATAATTACCTCTAAGATCAAAATTACATGGACTGATTCAAGTTCAAGATTGAATCATGACATTCCAACCTTAAAATAGTGAGTTCCTCCTCTGAACCAAGCAAAGTTCAAATGCATATGAAATATGAAATTTCGCAACCGTGTGTCCATGATTGTTTAGAACACGTTTTTTAGATCACGCAATAAAAATCTTGTCAGTTACCGAATATTTTTCATACAACGGCTATCAACAGTTGCGGGTGTTCAATTAATCCTGTTGAAATGAAGTATTCTAAAATCATGATTTTCAATCTACATTTGTCATAGCTACCCATACAAAACTATTGATTTCATATCATTTCTTGTCCTCACCAGATTTTCTTCGAAACTCTCAGCCGATGTGTCAATGAAATTCACCGTATACACTGATCCGCGTAGAGCTGCTGTCACCGAGTGTGACGCCGGTCGGTTCTCCTCATCGTCCAAATCATCTGTTGAGAATGGCAGAGAAGGGGTGCAGATGAGGGAGCAGTGTCAACTGATGACTAGAACACCACGTTTGCCGTGAAATCGTCACTAAATTTGAATAAAATAACTCAACTGGCATACAATTTCTATGTCAATAATCTGCTAGTTTAGAGCAGCTCTAGTATACATAAGTATATCATTTGGGAAATTAGGAAACCTACCACTGCCTAGAACGGACATAATTCACTGTGGAATATCTCGACTGGAGTATGAACTTTTCAGCCTTGTTCCCTTCAATAACTAAATGTGTTATCTTCACCAGCGAGAAAACCTTCCTTTTCGTTGAGGGAACTGGACTGTTAAGGTCCTTTTGGTCGGGTGAGGCAGTAGTCCGATTGAGAGAAAAGCTGTCAACCATGAACGTTTGTTGGCGGTGGCAAATTAGAGTCTTAGACTTCCTGCCCAGAATACGCTCCCAACGGCGATTGATTTACACAACAAATATGAAAAATGTGAACTATTTAAAATACTTTGGACGATTGATGGTGTGAATTGATCTATTTCATAACGAAACATTAGCTCCAGTCCATGGTTGATTAAGTAATCGATTTGATTTTACTGGGCTTATTCAACGGAATGGTTTTGTATTGGTTACACTTTTCAAATAATATGTAAATTTGAAAACAGATAAGAATCAATTAGTTCGTTTTCAATTCCCAACGGACCTTCAACACACTTAATTTCAACTACCTTACTTATTTTCTACTGTCGTTCAATAAACGTAATTTATTCCAAGTCTAAAAGGACTTCAAACGTCAAATCAAGCCATGTTTTACTGTCGAATGTTAAAAGACACTGGCTTCTGCAACTCGATGAGTGCTGAACGAACAAAATAGATTAATTGGATTTATTGTTGAACGCAAGCGTACCAGGAGGCAATCACTTTCGTGATAATTATTGCTCATCAAAATGGTCCCTGAAGTTGGGCACCCGTTTTAGAATAGTGCTCATTGAGTTCTTTCGATGGACTAGGGTTTCAATCTTGTAGTCACTGTGATGCACATATGCATTACGATAATGAATAACCGTGTAGTTGTTATGCCCGACAGCTCATTTGACAATCAATTAGGACATTATCAGACTTTTGTACTTGTGCGTGCAAATCAGCAATGTGACGTCGACGTATCTTGTTCTCAAAAGGAAACCAGGTAACGGAGCAAACAAAGAAACATTCGTTGAACGATAAATTTCGTGTGGGAATATTTTTCTCTGAAAGGTTTTTTGTCAATCGGAAATTTTTGAGCCGTTCCTCGAAAATTTGCTAGCTGTTCTTGTTTCACCCCCAGTAGACAGATTTTATTAAAGAAGCAATCACAAATTAAGACGAATTAAGACGAAATTAAGACGTCTTGCTGCAGAAAACGTTGAACAGTTTGACAGTTTGTCAGTTTTCACATACTTAGTGAAAACCATTCGGCAGTTGTGTAATAGCTCTCATATACATGCATATATATCGAAGGGACGTATATCTACATAACTTTAATTGTCGAGTTTCGTCATCTCACATGCAAACAACTTGTTTCTGTTGTGTTCTTCTGTTAGCCATTGCAGAGACCGGTACTAGTTCCTTGTTGTTGACAGTTGATTCAACGGAAGTGCACCTACATATGGATGATTTATATATTTTTCTGAATTTTGTGTTCAAATAATACCCTCAGCCTCCACGTTCCCTGGGACTTTTACAACTCGTATTTCACACATGCTTCTATGGTCACTCATAGTACGGTCAAGTGTCTCACTCAACACATTCGTCGAAAACTGCTCCTTGTATATCGCGTAGAGCATGCTTTGACTGAATGCATTAATCAACTAATTCCGGGGGAATGAAATGATGGTTTCATTGAGAGGAGTAGATTTTACGAAAATTTCACGATAACTCCAATAAGACGTTGCTTAAAACGAAATATTTTACCATTTGTGACCTGACCTGACCACCTCTACGGTGCATATTGCCCAACAAACTTCTAAGCTCTTATAATTCAATATTTCAATACATTGTACGTCAGCGTTTTAGAAATTGCTCTTATTAAGTGGCGAATTCCGTCATTTAGCGTGAAATGAAATTTTTCGTCTCACCTGAAAGTGACTTCGAACTGATACACTCACTTTATCAGTGCAAGTACATCACACCTGTAGACAGCTAATTATATCATGGACAGAATATATACGAATAACTGACTTTGAATGTGTCTGGTACTCAAGTGGGTTTTACCGTTACCTTTTAACTGCGACGTTCCGGTTTTGATACCTGGTTGGGTAGACCGATCACCACTGCACACTTTGTCCGAATGAAAATAGCGGTAATCTGTCTCCCGGTTTTACAGTTCACGCTTCGTTTGCTCCACAAACAATGACGTTCATCGCGTAGTTTAAAGAACGTATGCGCCCATTGATTTTAGTATCACACGAAACAATTTATTTCTAACTACGTTGATCATATGATATGACGCTTTGCAAGCCATCACAAAATATGTGTCAGACAAACCTGAGTTATGAACTGACTCCAGCAGATCTCAGTCAAATAACTGATTAAATCACAGGGCGTTAGGTTAACCTGAGTACCCAATCACTCAGTGCTTTGCAGTTCTTACACAGCGAAATTCTACAACGCGGGTCAAGCATTGCTCAACCAAGAGCTCCGGTTTTGACCAACAAGACAAAAATCATTCACTGTGTCCTAGGGAAATCTGAAGTATCGTGCCCAACGGAAAACGCATCGAACGCTTTTTCTGTCAATATTATTCTCCCAACGATATTTTTTCTATTTCCAATGAGTTGATAAAATTATCTCCATTCATAACTGCGTCAGTGACAGAAGTTAGAAAATATTTATAGAATGGAATTTTTGATAATTGTCCTTCTTGTACACTATCAACCAAAACTAGAAGTAGATATAATTAGAATATACATATTCTAGGCAATAAAAGTAAACTTACTATCAGTGGTACATTAACTTACATATCTCCGATTTTCCTGTTTTCAGTCGGGACAGTTGTTGACACAAGGACGTTTTACCCACACCGACAGACCCAAGAACCTGTACCTGATAAAATGTCATACCAGGCTCGTCGGCAAACAGAGAGTCTTCAGTGATTGGCATACCAATTGGAACACCTGGACTGGGTGATGAGGGAGCTGGAAACACTGGTAGTTGGGGAACAGTTTTTGGCGGACTTCTGCAAACATTTTGCACACTAGCGTTGACTGGAGAATAGCTAAGTGTGGCCGATACCGGAGTTCGATCACGTGGAGGTTGTTTGAATCGTTCCTCCTCGGTGCTTGCACGACGAAGTTGACCACGAGCCGGCGGCCGAAGGTAACCCGGTTTCGCTGGTTCCCCAGAATTTCGAGTGGACTTGAAAGCCCCAAACTCCGAATTTTTGTTGTCTGGTGGTGGAGTTTCTGGACTGGTGTTACGCATCGAGTGACTGCGCATTGTAGCCAAATGGTGGCGTGCTGGACTCAATGATCCCGACTGGTTTGATGATTTACTGCTGCCCATTGGCTCACGGGACCCGGAAGGCGAGTTCGCAATCTGACAAAAGTAATCAAACTCATCCATCAATTGATTTGGTCCACGATTGTCGGAACTTTGAAACCGATTGTTGAACGGTTCTGCCTGGAAGGATCTTGGCTGTCTAGTTAATTTGGGTCTGTTTAAATTTCTCGGGGTTTGGGATAATTCCGGTGTACCCCGACCTTGGGAGGGATACTGTGTATTAGATCGAGGCAATGCCCGGGATCCGCTCATCTGGCTGTCTGAATGGGACTCAACGAGTTTTCCCACAGAGACTTGTGACAATTTGCGACGTGAATCCTCGTCCAAAGGTTCGTTATTTGAGCTGTGTAGGTCCTCACTTGAGCTGGACGAACAATCGCCAGCCAAACTGATTTCTATTGATGGCGCTACGACCAAACGTTCACGACGTCCTATAAGGTCACTTCGTGCAAGAGTAGTTGGGATAGTTTTCTCTCTGGTTTGTGCTTGTAACTGATTTAACGGAAAAGATATTGGGTTTGCTTGCTGAATCGAACTGGAATGAGACGAACAGGTCCTTCTTGGACGTTGATGAATTGGACTATCAGTTGTGTCAGAAGGTCCGGTAGTTCTCAAACGGCCGTCAAAGCTGGATGCTCGATGCACGTGAGCAATTTGTGGTGGTCGGAGGCTGTCGGATGAACCGTGTTCACTGAGACAATGCTCACTGGGACTGTTCGTCGCACGAAATAAATTGACGGCGGATTTTCGAAACGGTTGTGCCGGAAGTTGTCTAGGTGAACGGGGTAGTTCGTCCGGACTGACTGGGGGAGTTGTCAGCTTGGAAAGGGCTGGCAAATCCTCTAATTCCCGAGGGCTGACACACGTAGTGGACTGACTGCCTCGATACGCTTGGCGCCATTGTTGAGCTCGATTAGTTTGTGATGATTGGTTTGTTCGATATGTTTTGGATTCGTCAGGTAGCGTGCCTAACAATGTGGAAAATAATGAGAAGAGATAGGATAACAGACCAATCAAAACACACACATGGTCATGCATCCTAATTTGTGATTGGTTGCAATTTTCTCTGCATGGTTCACGACGAAAATTTAATTTGACTTAATAACTTACCACTGGGTTTGGTTTTAACACAAACCATACACTAGCAAATGTGGATACAGTGTTTAACTATGATGAAATTCACCGAGAAGAAATACACCTATCGAGCCATGGATATGATGCACCCACAGATATGAGTCTATCACGGATCGGATTGCTACAACGTCAGATCTGGTGATTGATAATATTTGGAATAGCATTCTCCTGAAGGGTAACGAGGCCCAACCAAATACGTTTGCATACAATCACGGAATAACATTTTTACCGTTTCAGTTGTTTCCGTTGCGAAGGCATTTGAAAATGACATTACTGTTCAAAGATCGTATACATCGTAAAAAAATGGAAACCCAAGTTGATGCAGTGATATTTCTTAACCGCCATCATTAGCATGTGCCTGAATATGCAAAATGCAAGCAACATGTGATATGAATTTTATGTTTGGCAATTGTTTCTCGTTTGCCCCTGTTACAAAGCCAACTGGGAATTAGTAAAAGGCTCATATTCCTCTTTGTTTATCCATCATTTCATCACATTTATTGATGTTGCAAGCTTGGTTGCATATATGTATAATCCAGCTCAGTCAGTATCACATTTATTCAATTATTACAAATACATTTGCACCTAGAGTGACGCATTTTTGTTATCTTTTTTGTACTTTCAATATGATGAAGTGTAAGATGGACGGAGCGGAAAAATTCGGAACAGTGGTGCGGTAAAGACGACAAATGCAATCGAAATAACTTTGTGGATAAATCCAATTAGTGCTTAAGAAGATACTCGAATATACAATCCCGTCTCACTAAATACCGATGGGATATATTTTATGTAAACGATAGAAACATTATTATTTTCGTCCAAGTACTGTTGCCTAGAAGCTTATTTCCTCAACCACACTCAATACCAAAATAAGGATCCGAAACACAAAGCAGTCAAGGTTTTCAGATAATCGGTTTCATTTTCAAACTGAGCTACAAGAAATTTATTCAAGAGTTTTGAGAATAAAACAGTTCGTTCATTAGCACTTCGTATACGGAAACAAGCGGATTAGGGTTATGTTGGTTATGCCCAATTTGTTGAACAAATTTGTTTTGGAGAAAATGATACGGGGTATATTTTTGTTTAGATGAGGTAACCAGCGACCCCAACGGGATCCGATCTCGATAGTTTGCACGCGGAAATTCGTACAGCGCACGGTCTACTTGCTCAGTTACGCGGCAAAACTGGTTTCTTCACATATGGATCTATTGTATAAAATATCGTCATGTTTTGAATCTAAAAATGCACGTGACTGGTGGCAAACTTACGAAAACTAGTCTGGTCTTCGGGGAACTTGGTCATTTTAATCCTCTATAAGTATGGAAAAGGAGAACCTGAATACGTTTTGGAAAACAGTTTCAAATGATACGACCATGAGTTATTATGAAGATGCAAGCTTTAGCATGTCTCAACCGATATTTAGGCGATCGCACCGAGTATTGATTTTCATATGGAAGGAACTATAAGAAATCGGGCTGTAATGTACTAGAATCATATGCTCTACAGAAGCACAATTTGAAGGTAGTATATTTTCACATGAACACTTTAACAGTTACGTGGTCATTGTCGATGTAAATAAAAGAAAGACTGAAACGTGTACCATAGAATGAATACTGAAATTCACATTTATCTTAAAAGGTGTTATATTTTGTGACCAAAGAAAACGTTTGCGAAAAAATAGTTCAGATGAATGTTAGATCTAACAGTCTTCATGTGGAAAACAGGAGTGAACCAAATGGGGATTTGGAGTTGGGTAAATCGAAAACATTAGACAAAACCTATCAGTGAATTTACCTGAAACGGATAATACCGAGACAATAGTAAGGGAAATAAAAGGGATGCGCACTTTCATCGGGAATTTTTCCAAGCAAAATAGCCAAACTATCAAACAGCTCAAGTAGAGTGCTCAGATCCACTTCTGCAGGCAACTGATTGTTAAAAATTACCAATCATTCGCTTAAATTGCTGTGTAGATTTAATCAAGCTGACAATCAGCTGCGGCCAGTAATAAATGCGCGCGATTGGTCATGGATCGGAGAGAAACTGTCCGTGCCTCCCCTGGTGCTGTTTTCAGGCTACGCAGCACTGTATGCTAATGATCTGTGTTTTTTTCCTACCGGTGGTCTGCAGCATTGAGACTGACTATTTGGCGTAATAGAATTCCTAATACATCTGTACATTTCATCGATATGCAACACCGAGGATTGGCTCGTAGTTGCATGCATCTCCTCCAAAAACACGCAAATATAGTTTCCGAGTATTGCAGTATCATTGCCCGTGGTACAAGTAAAATACCTAATCAGTGTTTGCAAGCTTTGAGTCCACCACATTTGTGGTGAACAGTAGGCGACGAAAGATCTCCATAGCAAGTGAATTTGTGATTCCAATACAATAATCTAGTTCGATCTTCAACCCTCATAGAGGTATCTTTTCCGTCAGTCCATTCGCATTTCTCAGCTATCGACTAGATTCTGTAAACGTTTTGGTGAGAAATTACGCAATTTTTGCTATTCCATTCCAGAATACTAGGAACGGGATGAGAACCAGGGATTCCTGAGACATCATTTCTGTGGTTCGGAATTATTGATATAGCTCCAACTGCGAATACAGACTTATAATGCATAAAATAATCAGTTACATAAAATACAATTGATTAATTTTGTACAGTTTGTATCCGGATGCAGTTCACTCTGTCGCATCAGATGCATACAACAGGTTACATCATATGAATACTCAAAACCAATTGGTAAAATTGCCGATTATAAGTTAAAAGCTCTATTTTCTAATGATCGGATGTCAAAAAGACAGTGTGTTCACATATGTATGTATATACTGTAAACCTACATAGTTGAGGAGGTACTTACACTTTACCTTTATTTTACCTCTGAGAACAATGTACAATGGATTTCCATGATTGTGTAGACTCGACACGCTGACAGTCGGGATATATTTGCCAAAAGTGTTCCAGCTAAATGGAAACCCAAAGGCGTTTTTGCAGTGACATTTCACTTTACACGGAACAAAAGAACTGAAAATATCCTCCTTAAATGTGAGGTTGTCTTGCAGATGTTTTTCTAGGGTGTTGACATAGACGAGCACGCCAACTTGTGATCCTGTCGAACACCAGTTCACTTATAACATACTTTCCTAAAGCAATTGCGATTCAAAGATGTAAACTGGGTTTGTATAAACAAAATTAGTCCTTTGTCACGTTGGTGTTGCTTTAACGAAAGCCTTGACACCTGTTACCTGGCTAACGGCAGTTTGTTAGCGTGAGCAACTGTATCCTAGTTAATGCTAATTCAGGCATTTTCCATAGTATTTTTTAGCTACTTATATTTCTTGAGAGTAGGCAATAACTCAAGGTTCATTTTTCGATCAATAAAATCCATTGGTTCGAAACAGAAATTTGAGTAACTAGATCAAAACAGTCTCAAATCACCGAACGATGCAGAAATATAACTTCCCAGGGTAAAACTCAACATCTGAGCTAAAGTCAAACTATCCGGCTTTTTAGTCGGAATCGTAACAAATCAACTTGGGAAAAAGCTTTTTCGAACATGGGCGGAAACAACCATTTGTCATACGTAGTATTATGAAAAAGTGGTAACTGAGGTACGAATATTAACAGATTACGTTTTTTCCGTAGGAATTCATTGTAGGTTGCGGCTCACTGGTGATAATTTCCAACAATCTATTGTGGAAACCACTTCCATGAGTATCCATGCGAATGGTTATTTTTGATTGCCTTTCAAATATCAGAATCGAGCGTTGTCCTTCTCTGATCGGATAAGCCTTGCATTCGATGAGCGTTAGACGATTAGTGTCCTGACTTGCAATGGCATCAGGTGCGTTTATGCCCAGACTCATTCACATATTTAATCTACTGGGATAGACATTTTTCAGTCCCGACGGAACTAAACAGAAAATCAAAACTCCGGATTATATTTCCAGTAGAAATTCAGAGTGCACAATCCATGTTTGTTATGCACTATGCAGCAGACCTTTACGAGGTAACACATTATCTCAATACCCGATTAAATATTGGTGTTTATACACTTATGTTTGCAGTGTCTCAGAAATTGATAACCGAATATACGTACTTTTTCTTTCTGATACGCAGTAATCAGTCAAATGTTTTGATCTCCGATTTGGTTCAGAACATAAACATCGAAAGAATTTATAGCCAAATTTGTATCACTATTAGCAAGGCGGTTGACAATCCAGCATTTGTTCTTTCGGCAGCAGTTTAGGGCGTTAGTACCTCGATGGTAAATGTCACCAAATAATCACCCCGGAGAACCTGTGTTCAACTCGCTTGAGTCTTGCCTTTATGTCTACCGTATGCTAGCCCTTTGATTGGCCGCTTTCTCGTTCCTGAAGATCGTATCAAATATTACTCAGCTAAAGTAAGTAAAATGAAAAATGTATTTTGGAATTGAAAAGACAATCAGAATTAAAAGTGAATTTTGTTTGTTCTCTTTTTATACATTTTCTTTGGTTGAATGATGCTATATACTGAATAAATGGTAGCCAATAAAGCAACTATTAGTAACCCTGTGCGACTACGGAACCGTCCCTACAAGAGTTGTGGAAATGTTGGATTATACGCCAGCATGTTTGACGATTACGAGACTAAAGAAACATCGGAGTGTAGACGTTATAATTCAAAAAGTTGGAGACTAGAAATTAAAAGTGTTCACTGAGATGCATAGTACTGGGCTGGTTGTTTCGGAAACAAATGGCTAAATATGAGTGAGTGACAAAAAGGGAAGAGCGACTAATTAGACGATATGACACACAATTGATAATCTCAAATAGTTGTCGAATATAGACGTAGAATAGAGCTGATGCAGAAAACAGTATTCTAGTTCTTTCCGATATATCGCAGGATTTAATCGCTTCATATATATAACCACTTTATGTGATAGACCAAAAAGAAAGTTTTCCTAACCATCGCTTTATAGAATCTGGAAAATATTGCTTTCTGTAAACTAAGTGTTG